AATCTTCTTTTTGGTACATTATCAACGGACGTCTCTTAGGTGTCGCCGAAATCGGAGATGCAAAACGTGTTTCACTGCACCAACATGGGTGTATCACCCAGTACTAATAATATTGTGAATGAGTTTGAGTGTCAGATCTTGTGGGTTTGTTTGCCGGCTTGTGTGGAGGACTCGGCCGTCGGCCGGTCTGGGACGGTTGTCGGGCCACGGTCCGGCCGTTTTGGGGGATTACGTGGCACAAAGTCATTTGGCAGTCTGGTCTGTGCAAAAAGCGAGGCCAGAATATGTGTCCGGAGTTTTGACTAAAGACTCCGAGTGTACACTAAAACGGCATGACTTGATGCTGGCACGGGCTGCAAGCAACAAACGATGCTCAGTCGGAGATCGTTTTGCGAAAAGCCTTCTGTGCAGTCGATCCGCAACTTATCACAAATAAAGAACCAAACGCATTTTTAATGATGTGTCAAAAAATTGTGAAGGTTATCTTTGCATGGCGTTTTTTACCCTGGTACTGGGCTGGGGCAGCTGTTTAGTCTGATTCTGAGTGCAAGTTTACGCGGTTTCATTTTACTGTCAGCAACATTGTTCCCGGAAAAGAGCTATCGCGGCATGATTCTTGTTCATGACGTTGGTTACCAGCTACTTTCAACTTATTTTCAAGGTAATTGACAGTTTCAATTAGTCAACTAGTTTCCACGCTTGTGAAAATGTAAGATGTATTTTACTGATAGATGTTACGACGATAAGCGGAAGGCACGTGTCCTCAGTGTACGAATGACGTCAGGGCTGAATTGGCTCGCGTCTCTAGCTCAGTAAGCGCCAGATTACGAGGCTTGTCTGCCCCTACGCGCCCCACGTGCCAATCACTGAAATGAGAACAAGCCTTCACAGTTGATCTGTAGCATGCGCGTGATGCACGGTTGGCCTGGCGCTTTCCGACAAACGCCATGTTCGGCACCTACACAGCGGGAGCACTGTGACCGGCAGGTGAAGATCCTGGTGCCGAACAGCACCGCCGGCATGGTGATCGGCAAGGGAGGCAACTACATCAAGCAGATCAAGGAGGAGAGCGGTGCCTACGTGCAGATATCGCAGAAGGCCAAGGATCAAACGCTGGCAGAACGCTGCATCACAGTCATTGGTGAGAAGTGCACGGCCGCATGCAGGCTGCTGAGCCCTGTGGCCCTGGTTATTTGTCAGCTGAGCCTCGTCCTCGCTTCGTTTGACACCAGCCCCGACTCGGATGGCGCGTTTCGCCGGCGCATTTCGTCTCGCGAATCGGGGGATAAGCGCGGAAGAGCCGCTGCACAGGAGACGAGCCATAATCAATGCCCTCCGGGGCCAATGTCGACTTTATCGACGTTGTCCATGTCGTCCTTATCGACATGGTCATCGACGCCTTGTTAGAGCTGCGCCAATGAGGAATGGTCGGTGGCGCTCCCAGCGCAGATCATGCCTAGTCGCCGGACAACGCCTGGTATAGGTCAAAGTCGCACCCATTGTTGCAGACCCTCTCTATCAGATGTAGGCCACTCCCAGTTCGTGTCACCCCGGCGCAGACGGCAAGTTTTTGTGCCCTGGGAAAGCGAACCAGACTGGTCGGCTGGCGTTGGCTGCGCCTGCTTGCGGTCTCGCTCCCATCCTCGACTCAACGCGGAATATGTGGGCTGGCGTCTGCGGCCGTGTGCTGTGGAGGCCTACGGAGGCCGGACCGCCGACCGGGCGGCACCTCTCGGTGCTGGTGGTCACCTCTGGCGGCGGACCGCCGACCGGGCGGCACCTCTCGGTGCTGGTGGTCACCTGTGGAGGCCGGACCGCCGACCGGGCGGCGCCTCTCGGTGCTGGTGGTCACCTCTGGCGGCGGACCGCCGACCGGGCGGCACCTCTCGGTGCTAGTGGTCACCTCTGGCGGCGGACCGCCGACCGGGCGGCACCTCTCGGTGCTAGTGGTCACCTGTGGAGGCCGGACCGCCGACCGGGCGGCGCCTCTCGGTGCTGGTGGTCACCTCTGGCGGCGGACCGCCGACCGGGCGGCACCTCTCGGTGCTGGTGGTCACCTCTGGCGGCGGACCGCCGACCGGGCGGCACCTCTCGGTGCTAGTGGTCACCTGTGGAGGCCGGACCGCCGACCGGGCGGCACCTCTCGGTGCTGGTGGTCACCTGTGGAGGCCGGACCGCCGACCGGGCGGCACCTCTCGGTGCTGGTGGTCACCTCTGGCGGCGGACCGCCGACCGGGCGGCACCTCTCGGTGCTAGTGGTCACCTGTGGAGGCCGGACCGCCGACCGGGCGGCGCCTCTCGGTGCTGGTGGTCACCTCTGGCGGCGGACCGCCGACCGGGCGGCACCTCTCGGTGCTAGTGGTCACCTGTGGAGGCCGGACCGCCGACCGGGCGGCACCTCTCGGTGCTGGTGGTCACCTGTGGAGGCCGGACCGCCGACCGGGCGACGCCTCTCGGTGCTGATGGTCACCTGTGGAGGCCGGACCGCCGACCGGCGTCGATCGCCAACGAATCGCCCGACTAACGAGGCCGCCCCTGCCGCCAGGTGAGCGCGACAACAACAACAAGGCGTGCCTGATGATCCTGCAGAAGGTGAGCGAGGACCCTCAGTCGGGCAGCTGTCTCAACGTCAGCTACGCCGATGTCAGCGGACCCGTGGCCAACTTCAACCCGACCGGCTCGCCATTCGCAGCCAACAGCGTCGGCTCGCCGGGCGGTGCGACCAACGGCAACGGCGACTACGACGGCTGTGAGTGGGCCGGTCAATAGCCGACTGCGGCGCTCGGCCGGCCGTGGCGGCCCACGCGGCGAGCGTCGGAGATGTCTGACACTCTGGAGCGGGAGCAGTGCGTTAGGTCAAGCTTGGTCGCGATTTGGGCCGCAAGTATTTTGCGTTGTTTGTGCCCTTCTACATGTTTTTTAGTAGGCGGAAATGAAGGCGTTGCGGTGAGAATGGGGCAGTGCGTCACCTGGTGTGTCCGGCGCGTCTTTCTCGACGTTGCGCGCCGCGCTGGGCGCGTGCGTCCCTCGCGCGGCATCCTCACGCGGCGGCCCGGTTCCAGTTGTGACGAACCCGACGGTGCTGGCGAACGGGCTGCACCTGGAGCTGCATCCGCACCCGCACAGCGCCGGCACCGGACACCGGCTGAGCCCACACACTCTGGACCACATCCACAACACGCTCAGGAACGGCGGCTACCCGGAGCAGGTGAGCCGACCGTGTGGGCGTGTCGCGGGTGGCCGGGAAGAGCCAGCGGAGGCACGCGACAGTCGCGCGCCTCCGGAGTCGGGCGGTCAGACAGCTGCGGCGCCGGCGCTCTGGGACACCCAGCTGCGCGACTCAGCGAGGCTGGAGACAGCCAACTGGCGGAAGCCAGCCTGGCTGACCTGGGCTCGCTGACCCGGGCTTGGCCGACCCGGGCTCGCCGACCCGGACCCGGCCGACCAGCAGCATCACGTCCGCTGCCGCGTGCCATTCCGCCACCTCAGTGCTGGTGGGAGTATGCTGACGGCACCATCTCCAGTCACTGTTTATTCAGCGTTTGCGCGTGGCAACCTCGGGTCATGTTTTCAGAACCGGTTTTATGCCTCCATACCCGTTTGGCTGTTTTTCCATGGATCGTTCCAACGACTTGGCGTCGAGCTTTAGCGGCATGCCTGTCGCAAAATAGCAGACTGGTCTGGGATGGAGTTGAAGCGTGTCACAGCAAACGGTTGGCGTGCTGCCGACGATGATGGGCGACCGGCGCGCTGTGTCGCATAGTCTTGGTTTAGCAAAAACTATTTATTCCTCCCAGCACGGGGCTCGAATGCAGCTGTTTATCTCGAAATATTGAACTCTGAATACGAAAGAAGCGTGTTGTGTGTCTGGATGTATCTGGTGCCTTGTTGTTTGTCTGGCATCAATATCCTGACGCGGCGTAACGAACGTTGTTTCCGAGCTCCAGTCAGTTGCCCGCGTTTCCGTATGCATTTTTCTTATTCATTTCGCTCAATCAGCTTTTCCGTTTTCGGGAGAAAGCGGATGCTTTTTCTTTCTGTGCATATTTTCAAACTGAAACACTTCTTAGATCGGTGCAGTTATCCACTATTTTGTGCTATCATGTTCAGTTTTATCGTGTCGGCCTTTCCTTTTACTGGCTTCGAACGGAAGGAGTTTTCAAACTCATACCATTCATACCAGAGGAGCTTGACATTAAACTAGATGATGCAATATGACACTGGGAGGGGGACATGGCAGGACAACACAGACGTGACGTACTGCTTGGCGCAGACGAAACACGCTGGTGCTCTGGGGGTGGAACAACTGCCCATTTACTGTGTATGGGTTTTACGCATGCGTCTATAGCAATACAAGACCATCGTTGCGACATCGAAAACTACGCTGAGAAACGTTGACGCCTCCAAAAGGGCTTGAACGGAGCCACTGACTCGCCGCTGCCCGCCCCCTCCCTCCCGATAGCGGTGTAAGTCCAAAACTCGGCCCTGATGCGGGCCTCATTGTGGACTCGGCCAGTATTTGCTGCGGATGCCGCTGGCGGCGTTTGTTTTTTCATGTATTGGCAGCTGGCGGCGCCGCCACAGCGCCCGGCTCGTCGGCTGGCCGCGGTGGGACGCTATCGACGAGGGCAGGGGGATGGGAGCGGGGAGCTCCCGTTTCTCTGGCTCGTCACCACCACCACCGCGGCGGTGGTGTGTGCTGAGGGTGCGCTCCCTGTCCGTCAGCTCGACAACGTTGGGTTCTGACAGTCGGTCATGGTGAGCGCAGAGGGTGCGGTCCCTGTCCGTTAGCCGGACACCGCTGGGTTCTGACAGTCAGTCACGGTGAGCGCAGAGGGTGCGGTCCCTGTCCGTCAGCCGGACACCGCTGGGTTCTGACAGTCAGTCATGGTGAGCACAGAGGGTGCGGTCCCTGCCCATCAGCCGGACACCGCTGGGTTCTGACAGTCCGTCATGGTGAGCGCAGAGGGTGCGGTCCCTGTCCGTCAACCCGAGATTGCCTGAGGCGTGAGGACATGGCACGAGATGTGACTGTCGGCCCCGCTGCTCGCAGGCGGCGAACGAGGTGACTGCGGCGATTGACACGCTGGCCACGTACGGCATCCTGGGCGTGGGCGTGCCGTGCGCGCCGCCCGTCTCCCCCGGCCAGACGTCTCTGCCCGTGTCCGGCAGCTTCCCGCCGCAGGCGGCCAGCACACTGATGACTCTCAGCGTGTCCACCAGGTCAGTCGGGGTGTCGCCTGGCCGGCAGAATCGCCCTCGTCAGCCGGTGTGCTGGCTTGCGGCCAGCTCTGTAGAGCGAGAGGGCCGCACGCTGTCGTTCAGCTTGACGTCGGTCAGTCGGCGTATGTGCGTGCATGTGTGCTGATCACTTGGCGGGTCGACCCTGGGCCCTCCCGGATGGCTGGTATCTCCGAGCCCCGGTGAGACGTCCGAGTGTCGCTGCCGGGCCGAGTTGGAGCCGACTGTACAGCTGTGCCCTCTGGTGCCCTGCCCGCGTGTGCCGGCGTGCCACGGCCCGAGTGTCTGACGGGCTTCTGCGCCGCCGTGCGACAGTGAGAGCCTGAGCGGCAGCAGCGGCAGCGGCGGCGGCGGCGGCGGCGGCGCTCTGTTCCGGCCGCTGTCGCCGATGTCGTCGCTGCAGTCGACCAGCTCGCCACCGCACTCGGCCGACCCGTTCACTTCGCTGGCCGACACCAGCTTCGAGTCGTTCAGGAGCGGGCCGCCGCTGCAGCTGCCCGTCAACAACAACTCGTACGGCCTGGGCACGCCGTCGGGCCTGGCCAGCCTCTCCAAGAGCCCGCCGCCGCTGCTGCCGGCCACGGTCGTGGTGCGGCACGGCCAGACCGCCGACGGCCAGCACAAGGTCGACATGGAGGTGAGCACCGGCCACGCGGCTCCGGTCGATCCTCTCGCCAACATTGGGCTGCTGTTGTTTTATGTGACTGTTTTGCGGCGGTGGCTTCAGGGTCACCGTTCTTCTTAAGCGTGTGAGTAGTGCTATTGGATGTTATTGATATTAGCTCCGTGGGAGATACAAACAGATGGAGCGAAAGGTAAAGATTTTATATCTAAGCCTCACTGGGTAACCTCGTTCGATAAAAACGGGACGAGAACGGTGCATTTATGTCAAAGGCATAACCCTCCAGTCATATTTCATATGCATGTGATTACGGAGACACCAAGCTCACCACCCCACATGATCAGTTCCAGTGCAGCGGATAATTTAGCCGAGATTTAAACGGGCCACCAGTTACCACGTACTGTGATAAGTACGCTTCGGTGCCAGCCTGACGGTGCGGTAGTGCAGACGTGACGGGCCAGCCTAACCGGCTAGTAGGCAGAGAAACACCATGCATAGCGCCTACTTAAGGGAAGACGTCCACGTGTTGGCGAGTCTCTTTTGCGCGGCCGAATGACTGCGCATTGCGCTGTTTAACGTCGGCATGAGGTCGGGTGCCTCAGTTGCTGTCCATGCTGTCCGTACACCCGTACTGGTCGGTCCCGATGTACCCGACATTTGCCGTGCGTGCAAGGTCCCGTGAGGCGGGTGCAGCGGACCGGCTGGGGTGAGTGGCGGCGCGTGGCCGGTTGTGCGTGAAAGTGAAGCGTCACGCCGGAGCACCTGTGGATGCTGACACAACCAGATGGGGGAAACACATTAGGCGGGTCGGGCGCGGGAGCGCAGCCGCTTCTGACGCAACACAAAACAAAACCACAACAACCACAAAAAAGGACGCGCAGACAGGCCGTATGGAACAGAACGTTGCTCCAAAATAATTTTTTTGTTCCTTGACGGGGGCCTGCCTGTCTGCCTGTGGTGACAGTGGCCAGACTTGGCCGCACGCCCGCCTCCTGTCCGCCGGCGGTCACTAGCATGGCACTGGTGTGCCGCCGCAGGTGGGCGAGTACATCATCGGCGCCATCTTGGGACCGGGTGGCCGGAACCTGGTGGAGATCCAGCACCTGAGCGGCGCCACCATCCAGATCTCCAAGAAGGGCATGTTCCGGCCCGGCACGCGCAACCGGATCGTGTCACTGGTGGGCTCGGCGCAGGCCATCAGCACGGCCCAGTACCTGGTAGAGCAGAAGATCAGCGAGGAGGAGGCCAAGCGCGCCCGCCAGACGACCGTGGTCGGTGCCATCCACTAACGCTCTCAGTGTCTCCCTCACGTTCATGTACTCCCGCCGGCCCAGTCCCGACCGCATGCGGACCGCTCCAGCCTCGCGCCTCATCTGTATAGCAATTATGAAGTGATCGAAATACGATTATGTTTATATTATTGTAGAGCGGAGTTGTTTTATTATTTTCGGGCGTCGCCGTAGCGCGGCGACGGCCCAGCTGTTGGTGTCGGCGTTCTGTCCTGTAGACTGGGAGTGGGGCGTGGTGTCATTGCGGACGAGCCCCGTGCCGACCGATGGGGGCCGCCGGGCGGGGGCGACGCTCAATGCGCCGAGCCGGGCTCCCCGGGCGGTGTGGAAGGCGGCCCGGCGGCCCGGCGGCGTCGCTGGCCGCGTTGGTGCTATGCTGTGGGCGGGCGCCGGCGACGCGCCCGGCCGCCGCTGTCGGCGGCGGACGAGCCTGAGCAGCTCGCCGCTCGGCCGCTGTCCGGCGGCGCGCCGGCCGGGCCGGGCCGCCGGGCCGGGCCGCCGGCGCCAGCCGCCTCATTACCCAGAGTCTCAGGGACGGCCGCCCGCATCGTGACTCAGCGTCCTGTCGGCCCGACGGCCGCGGGCGGCCGCGCCGACCCGGCCGCCGGGGCCGGTAACACATATCGGGCCCCCTCGCCGCCGAGTGCATGCGCGCGTCCACTGCTAGGCCCTGTGTCGGCGGTCCGCGCCAGTTCACTGGGTTACATATGCAGTGCTATGCATAAATGGTTCCTTTCGGACGTGCTGCAGCCGTCCTCGACTACGCTTCCGTCGGCGCCTGCCAGGGTGGAGTTGCCGACGGCGCCATCCTCATCTCACTCACATTGGTTCCACGTGGCGGCCGGCTGGCGGCGCCACCATCGCACCCCGTCCTCCGCGACTCATAGATTCAAGAGGGCCGCTCCATTCATAGTTGTTTCAGTGCCTAAGAATCATGATTGAGCGAAGAGTGTCTAAGACTATGACTATTACTTGATGCGTTTCACGGAAGTATGCCCTTTTCCTGGTTGGGAGCTCTACATTGTCAAGCCATGGGGTTCGGTTGCAATATTTGTAGTCATGAATGTCGTCGGAAATTGGCAACGTCGTCACAAGCCCACATTTTACGACCAAAGCCCGTACTGGGACGTGAGTTTCACTTTAGTCATTCGCCACCCATCTCGCTTCAAGTTGTTGTCTGTTTTATCATTAATTTGCTAGTTGGTGGGAGGGTAAGGTGGTCATCGGTTTGGTGGAACACCCTGTTACAGTGGGCTCGGTGAGATCATGGGACTCGGAGCTCGTCCTGGCTGTGAGCGGGCGGACACGTCACGTGACCTCGCTCGGAATTCGCGGCTGAAAGTCCGGCCGCGGACCGTCTGTCGTGTGTTGTATACCATTCATTAATTACGAGATGTAAGTGAAACTACAGCGCACCAAATAAAGTCCTATCTTCCAGTGAGGCATTGTTTGTATGTGGTTGCGTGCGTGGCGTTTACCGTTCGTGCTCCGGGCGGCGGTCAGCGTGGTATATACGCGCCGGGTGTAGCGCTCGACATCGCATCGCTGCTGCAGGTGAGGTATTGCGGTTATTTTGTGATTATATATGTGGGAGATCTATCGGCCGGCAATGTAAATCTCGCATCAGCTGACGTGACCTCTCCGTTTGAATCAACCGGTGGCAGCGCTGAGCCAACGGCTGACTGCCTGCACGTAGGGTGATGATCTTAATAGCGCGGGCCGCGAAAGATATTGTAATGGAACTGAAACATTGCGACCATTCGGATACCAAACGGGACCTTTTTAACCAAAGTAGGGTATATTAATCACAGGAGCATATGGGCATGAAGTCCTGCAAATTTCTCACATCGCTACAGCATATTCGGTATGAGTACACGGCGGCTATAATCGGCAGGGGAGGTAGCAGTCGTCGGTAACAGCAACGGCCACCAAAGAGGTGTCAACATCGTGAATAGCAATGTTGACAAGGACTTAGAGGCGGCATGGCCCAGTGCACACGTCTCGTGCGACAGAGGCGCCAGCTTCATAGCATGTACAGACAACACCTTGCGGAAAATAGAATGGGGCTTTGCAGTCACGAACACGGCACGGTATGAAGTCATGCCAAATTGATATAAATGGGCTTACGCATTGGGGGGAAAAAAAATAACGAGCTACGCATCGAGGCGAAGAGGCGTGTCATGGCAACCGGCCTTGGCCAATGGCGGATCCAGAGTGGTATGGGAGAGGGTACGGGAACGGGAACTATGCCCCCGTCCCTTTGGGCGAGGGGGCAGGAAAGTGTCATGGTGAAGTGTCACCGAAATCCATATTTCGGATCTACATAACCTTTATTTTCAGGAGGCTCCAAATTTCAGGGGCACCACAAATGACCACTGATATTTGCTTTTGGTATGTACCGAAATCCGGGGTCACCATAACCGTCCCCAAGCCTTCATTTCCCAAGGGCACCAAATTGCAGGGATACGGCAATGTTGTACCTCCCACCCCGACGAAATCCTGGATTGGCCCCCTGAGTTATGGGGTACAAAAACGGTGAATTTGGAGCATCATAACTTTCATTTCGAACCACCACAAGCTTTATTTTCAAGAGGCCCCTTATCTAAATGGGCCATTCGAATTCCACAAAATGTTAGTTTTAAACGGGGATCAAAGTCGCTGGACACCACAACATCTATGCCTTTACCTTGCCAAATTTCTGGACTGGCCTGTTCCACGATGGAGTGCCAAAAAACTTCATTACCGGTTATGATAGCTGTTATTTTCCAGAGGTGCACATTTCCTGGGGCACCGCAAAGCAGGGGCGGGTCCATAGCGGATGGGTCATGGGGTCACGTCTCTTCCCCTTGGGTCCCATAAGGTTTTGATGCTCCGAGGAGGCGCCAAATCCCATCGCGAAGGGGCAGCAATACCTTCATTTCGAAACCACATAACCTGTATTTTTATGGAACACCAAATTGCAGGGGCACCACAACGTTCGTGCCATGTCCCTTCACGAAATCCTGCCTCGGCCCATTCATAGGTGGATCCTGAGGGGGGGGGGGCACGGGGTCATGCCCCCCCAAAAAAACCTCAAAACCAAAACCAAGAGAGTATGTTTTGACCTCCCAAAACATTCCCAGAACTTTATAAAAGTTTCGTCTACTTGCCGTCTGTTTTAACTTGAACTGTTTGAACTGTTTTGCTTTAGCTTCTGTTTAACACCAGCCAGCTGGCGATGAGCAGTTGCCCCCCCCCCAAAAAAAAACAAAAAAAAAACAACTCCAGGCTAGATCGCCCCTGGGCCCATTCGGCGAGGGAGCGCCAAACTCTTCATTTCGGGGTACCATGACCTTTATTTCCAAGAAGCACCCAATTCCAGAGAAGACCAGAAAGAGCCCCGATCCATTATTCTGAAAGAGCCATGAATTCCAGGCATGTAACTATGTTGAGGCTCTGATAAAATCCTGGATCGGACCGTTGGACAAGGAGGCATAAAAAATTCCCTTTCGGGGCGCCATCTACATTCACGAGGCATGACATTAAAGCGAGCCATGTACAAAGCCCAAAACCATAATTTCAAAGGGGCACCAAAACCCAGGGGCATCACAATCAGTGTGCCTTCCATTCTGGAAAAATTCTGAATCGGATCGTTTAGGAAAGGGGCACTCAGGGAAACAGGCACCAATAGCTTCGTCATCATTGGGGCCTTACGACGCACATAGCTGCTGAGGTCATATGGCGTCGCCTGCCTCTCACCCTGGCAGGAAGTGCGGGCGCCATGGGGAATCAAACCCCGTATATCTGGTTTCCCAGCCGCGCAGTAGCTAACGCAGATGCGCTAACCACTACACTATCGTCGCCCTAACTCTCTAACCAGCAACCTTCGTTTCGGGGCATTATGGCCTTTATTTTCTAGAGGCACATAATTCTCAGGAGTCATCACAATGCCCGAGCCTCTCCATTTTCTAAATCCTCATTGACCAATTCGGCCAAGGGACACGTTTCTTTCGGACCACCACCATAGGCGTAGGAATGTTTCAAAAAGTGGGGGCCAAGCATAGAGTGTACTCCAGGAACTTTTTCTGGAAAGCGAGCCCGATGACCGGGGGGGGGGGGATGGAGGTTGTTATTGCCCTTTATTCAAATGCCATCACTGCTATGCTAGATATGCATCTAGAGCTGTTTCTCACTAGTGCACAAGCTTGCCTGTTCGACTCATCTGTCATTTCGCAAATGAGGCTATCCAGCTTTCCAGATTATTAGTCCATTTTAACATTGTCTTTCCAGAGGAGACGAAATTCCATGAGCAGGTAGGCATTTTGGGTCATTGAGGAAGCATCTGCCTCCACAGTGTAAATGCCAAAATAAGGCCTGGATATAGGCTGGTGAGAATTTTGGAAGTGGGTGGATGGCTCACAGCGCAACGGATTTTTCATGCGCTTTGTTGTTGTTCATTGGTGTTTTCGGGCTCGTGGACTTCAATGGTCATTTTGCGCCCATAACGATGCTTTTACTTAATTGGTATGGTGTGAAAATGACTTATAAAACAATATCTTTTAAAAACGAAAAAAAGCTGTTTGGAATCAAGAAAGGAAGAACTGTCCCCGAGCACATCGCTAACCGCCAGGGGCGAAGCCTGCGGACCAAAGTGACGTCGTCGTTCTTCGATGAGGCACGGGCATGATACCATGACATGATGGACAGTGAGAACCACACGGCGCCACACTGCTGGCATAGGGGTCTGTCGGCTCCATGCAACAGCTGACGGTGTGTGGCATACATATGCCCAATACGCAACCCGCATAAAGCCACTTCTTCCCATCGCAAACTGTGAGAGCATGACGACCACAAGCCCAACTCGGTTTTTATCGCCCTGAGCTTATTGCCGCCCACCTGGTCCCAACAACGCTGCAATTTGCTTCTCAGGAAGGTCTTGACTGCCGGGTAGAAATCTCTAGCAGGGATAGGCTAAAACCGGGTACCTGGTGCGACCGCTGCTCGCTCAGCAGCGGCATCAGCCAACTCGTTGCCCACGATACCGACGTGACTGGGGATCCAGCACAGGGCAATTCTCTTTCCAACTCGATTCGACTGTGTCAGACGTGATAAAATGTCCTGTATGAGGGGACATGATGGATAAAAAGACTTCAGTGCAGAGAGACTGCTCAGTAAATCAGTAAAAATGGCGTGGGACGATTCTTCACCCACTTCTATGAAACACATCGCCTTGGTGATTGCAAATAATTCCGCTGTGAAAACTGACGAGTGGGCCAGTAGCGAGAACGATTGAGTGACAGAACCGCTGACGAAAGCACAACCCACGTCATCCGAGGTTATGGATCCGTCTGTTGGATCCTTCGTAACAC